GGAGGAGGAGGAATAGGAGGGGGAGGAGCAGCGGGACGAGGATGATGATGGATGAGGAGGAGGAGGAGGAGGAGGAGGAGGAGGAGGAGGAAGAGGAGGAGGAGGAGGAGGAGGAGGAGGAGGAGGAGGAGGAGGAGGGATGATGAGGAGGCGGAGGAGGAGGAGGAGGGAGGAGGAGGAGGAAGAGGATGAGGAGGAGGATGATGAGTACGACCACTACTACTAGGACGAAGCAGGCTGACGAGGATGAACTTAACACTGATACTACTACGAATAAGACCGATACTGCACATACGAATACTAGGACGAACAGTACTACTACGAGCACTATCATTACTAACACTAATACTAGACGATTGCACAGAAGAAGGCGACGACTACTACTACTGCTGATAATAGTATTAAGAAGACTACTATTACTACTTCGAGGAACACTACTACTAATAACGATACTAATCATCGTACTACTGCGAATACGACTCATACGAACACGACGAATACGATTGCGAATGTTAATGCTGATGAGGCTACGACTGCGAACAGTAATTCGAATAACACGGGGAACACTAATACTTACTCATGGTACTGGTACGAAACAGACGAAACATACCAACACAGCATAACACAACTAACACACCGAAATATACTACCATGACGACTAATTCGACTCATACGAGGAGGAGGCGGAGAAGAAGGAGGCGGAGGCGGAGGAGGAGGAGGAGGAGGAGGAGGAGGAGTTGGATGAGGAGGAAGGAGGAGGAAGGATGATGATGCTGAGGAGAGGGAGGGAGGAGGAAGAGGAAGGAGGATACGGAGGAGGATGAGGAGGAGGAGGCGGAGGAGGAGGAAGAGGGCGAGCAGGAGGAGGAGGAGGAGGAGGAGGAGGGGGAGGTGGGGGATGAGGGAGGCGGAGGAGGAGGAAGGACAAGGGCGAAGTCAGCAGGAGAGGAGCAGGAGAGGAGGAGGGAGGAGGAGGAGGAGGAGGAGGGGAGGGGAGGCGGCAGGAAGAGTGGGAGGAGTGAGGTGGAGGAGGATGGGAGGAGGGAGGAGAGGGAGGAGGAGGAGGAAGGAATAGGAGGAGGAATGTGAGGAGTGAGGCGGAGGAGGAGAGGAGGAGGAGGAGGGGAGGAGGGAGGAGGAGGAGGAGGATGAGGTGGAGGAGGAGGAGAGGAGGAGGAGGGAGGGGGGGGAGGAGGAGGAGGAGGAGGAGGGGAGGAGGAGGGAGGAGGAGGAGAAGGCGGAGGAGGAGGAGGAGGGGTGGGGTAGGAGGAGGAGGAGGAGGAGGAGGAGGAGGAGGAGGGAGGGGGACGAGGAGCAGGAGGAGGGGAGAAGAGGAGAAGGAGGAGGAGGAGGAGGAGGAGGGAAGAGGAGGAGGAGGAGTGAGGAGGAGGAGGAGGAGGAGGAGGAGGAGGTGAGTGGGGGAGTGAGGAGGTAGGGGAGGAGTAGCAGGGGACTAGCAAGAAGGAGAGATGGCGAGGGCGAGGGCGAGGGCTGAGGGCGAGGGTGAGGAGACGGAGGAGGAGAAGGAGAAGAGGAAGGAGGAGAAGGAGGAGGAGGAGGAGGAGGAGGAGGAAGGGCGGCGAGCGGCGAGGAGCAGAAGCCGCAGGGCGAGAGCTGAGGGCGGGAGGAGGAGGAGGAGTGAGGAGAGGAGGAGGAGGAGGTGGAGGAGCGAGGACGAGGAGGAGGAGGTGAGAAGAGGAGAAAGAAGGAGGTGGCGGAGGAGGAGGGAGGGAGGGCTGTGGAGAGGAGGAGAGGAGGAAAGGAGGAGGGCGAGGGGCTGGGCGAGGGCTGAGTGCGAGGAGTGCGGAGGGCGGAGGAGGCCGAGGCGAGGGCGAGGGCGAGGAGGCGATGAGGTGGAGGAGGAGGAGGAGGAGGAGGAGGAGTATAACGAGGGCGTGGACGAGGGCGAGGGTGAGGGCGAGGGCGAGAGCGAGGGCGAGGAGGAGGAAGAGGCGGAGGAGGAGGAGGAGGAGGAGGAGGAGGAGGAGGAGGAGGAGGAAGAGGAGGAGGAGGAGGAGGAAGAGGAGGAGGAGAAGAAGATGGAGGAGCCGACCCCCAGTACCGCCACCCGCACGCCCTCCTCGCTGCCGGAGCGCTGGCCGCCGCCCTCCGCGTGGCCGAGGCGCCCGCCTCCCATCTGGAGGAGCGGCCGCCGCTGCCTTCGACGACGACGAGGGCCTCGACGACGACGACTGCCTCAACGACGACGACGACGACGACGACGGCGGCGGCGGCGGCGGCGGCGGCGGCCACGGCTTGCCGCCGCTGTCTGTGTCGTTGTTTTCGTCGTTTTGTGTGATGTCGTTGAGGAGGACAAGGTGTCGATACCGCTGCCCACGACGAGCATCTTGGACTAACTTGAGAGAAACACGCGCGAAACCAGACAATGTTCTGGGAATGGACGTCAGAGCGATGGCAAGGTGAGCTCCCCACCGTCGCCCAAACGCGGAAGCTTGGCGCGTGGGCCGAGCGCACACCGACAGCCGTGTCGAGTTTCCGCGGGGCTTCGGCGGAGAAGACGTCACAGGAGGAGCAGCTGCCGATACGGTTGACTGCCCTTCCGTAGTGTTTGTTCCAAGCCCTCCTTGTGTTGGGTACTCGTTTAGAATAGAGCACTGTGGTATCCACCTCCCGCCCTCTCCTCCTTCTTCTCTCCTGTGTAAGCGGTTCCCTGCGGGGCTGCGATCTGCGCAACTGTCGCCACTTCGTGGGCTCCTGGGAGGCCCAGCGGAGGTACGTCTTACGCAGACCACTTTGAGACCTCCCTGTCCCCTGCGGGGCTGCGATCTGCGCAACTGTCGCCACTTTGGTGGGTTCCTGGGAGGCCCAGCGGAGGTACGTTTTACGCAGACCACTTTGAGGCCTCCCTGTCCCCTGGGGTGGCTGCCATCTGCGCAACTGTCGCCACTGTCGTGGGTTCCTGGGAGGCCCAGCGGAGGGGTACGTCTTACGCAGACCACTTTGAGGCCTCCCTGTCCCTTGCGGGGCTGCGATCTGCGCAACTGTCGCCACATTCGTGGGTTCTTGGGAGGCCCAGCGGATGTACGTCTTACGCAGACCACTTTGAGGCCTCCCTGTCCCTTGCGGGGCTGCGATCTGCGCAACTGTCGCCACTTTGGTGGGTTCCTGGGAGGCCCAGCGGAGGTACGTTTTACGCAAACCACTTTGGGGCCTCCCTGTCCCCTTGGCGCACCTGGCGCACCTGGCGCACCTGGCGCGCACCTGGCGCGCACCTGGCGCGCACCTGGCGCACCTGACGCACCTGACGCACCTGACGCGCTGGGCGCACCTGGCGCGCACCTGGCGCACCTGGCGCGCACCTGGCGCACCTGGCGCACCTGGCGCGCCTGGCGCGCCTGGTGCAACTGGCGCGCCTGGTGCATCTGGCGCGCACCTGGCGCACTGGTGCATCTGGCGCACCTGGCGCACCTGGCGCGCTGGGCGCACCTGGCGCACCTGCCACACTTAGCGCAGACCAGGCGCACCTGGCGCGCCTGTCACACCTGGCGCAACTGGCGCACCTGGCGCACTTGTCGCACCTGGCGCACATGGCGCGCCTGGCTCACTTGGCGCGCCTGGCGCAACTGGCGCACCTGGCACACCTGGCGCAACTGGCGCACCTGGCGCACCTGGCGCGCACCTGGCGCACCTGGCGCGCACCTGGCGCACACGTGGCGCACACCTGATCCAACTGGCGCACCTGGCGCGCGCCTGGCGCGCACCTGGCGCGCACCTGGCGCGCACCTGACGCGCTGGGCGCACCTGGCGCACCAGGCGCGCTGGGAGCACCTGGCGCGCACCTGGTGCACCTGGCGCGCTGGGCGCACATGACGCACCTGGCACACCTGGCGCACCTGGCGCACCTGGCGCGCCTGGCGCGCCTGGCGCAACTGGCGCAACTGGCGCAACTGGCGCACCTGGCGCACCTGGCGCACCTGGCGCGCGCCTGGCGCGCACCTGGCGCACACCTGGCGCACCTGGCGCACCTGGCGCACCTGGCGCGCACCTGGCGCGCACCTGGCGCACCTCGCACACCTGGCGCACCTGGCGCACCTGGTGCGCCTGGCGCAACTGGCGCAACTGGCGCAACTGGCGTACCTGGTGCACCTGGCGCACCTGGCGCGCGCCTGGCGCGCACCTGGCGCACACCTGGCGCACCTGGAGTACCTTGCGCATCTGGCGCGCCTGGCGCACCTGGCGCCACTGGCGCACCTGGCGCACCTGGCGCACCTGGCGCGCTAGGCGCACCTGGCGCGCACCTGGCGCACCTGGCGCGCACCTGGCGCACCTGACGCGCCTGGCGCAACTGGCGCACCTGGCGCGCCTGGCGCGCTAGGCGCACCTGGCGCACACCTGGCGCACACCTGGCGCACCTGGCTCACTTGGCGCGCCTGGCGCACCTGGCGCACCTGGCGCGCCTGGCGCGCCTGGCGCACCTGGCGCACCTGGCGCTCGTGGCGCGCCTGGAGCGACTGGCGCATCTGGCGCACCTGGCGCCACTGGCGCACCTGGCGCACCTGGCGCGCGTGGCGCGCCTGGCGCACCTGGCGTACTTGGCGCAGCTGGCGCACCTGGCACACCTGGCGCGCTGGGCGCACCTGGCGCACGTGGCACACCCGGCGCACACCTGGCGCACACCTGGCGCACACTTGGCGCACCTGGCGCGCCTGGCGCACCTGGCGCACCTGGCGCTCCTGGCGCGCCTGGCGCACCTGGCGCACGTGGCGCACGTGGCGCACCTGGCGCACCTGGCGCACTTGGCGCACCTGGCGCACCTTGCGCACCTGGCGCGTGTTTGGTTCACCTGGCGCGCATGGGCTTCTGGGGGGCTCAGCGGAGGTACGTCCTACGCAGATCACCACTATACCCTGGCGCCGAAATGTCCTTCGGTATCGAGTGGTCCTGAATGCAATTGCCAGTTGTGTAGAAAGGGTTGGGTACGTCGCAGGATAATGTTTTGAGGTCTCGTGGGCGCCCTCGTCGCCACGGCTGGATTCGCTTCGACATCCTGGGCAGAACTCAACTCGGGAGAGGTCCGGGGAGCAGCGGTATCGGCATCTCCCTATTCCCCTCTTGATTTGCTTCTTCCCCCCAAAAGTCGCGGCGGCCGTTCAGGTTTGTTTTCATGGAAATTTTGAATTTTGCTGATTTCGCGGCCACTGGCGCCGAATAGGGGCTGATTGGTTGACGGTTCGGGGCGTGTGCTGCTATTTGCCGCTGATCAATTGCCGCTACCTTTGGCTAGTTGCCTATCCGCCAACCTTTTGGCTCAGACCGATTTTCATAGAAACGAACGTAAGTCGATGGTTGTGCCAGGGTGTGGTTTCCGATCGGCACCGTGCGGGCCTGGGGAGCACGACTCTGTCCTCCCGCCCCCCTGTGTGCCCCCCGGGGTGCCGGTCGCAAACCACACCAGTTGCAAAGCACACCCTTCGGAGTCGCCGAGTAAGGCCTTTTCTCGACCCTGGCCTCCTGGGGGCAGTTTTCGCGTCTGGGGTCATCGGAGACCGGTCATGGACGGGGAAGGCCCTCCCCCTGGGAAGGGGTCGAGGCGTCGGCGGCCGGGGCTCTCCGTCGTGGTCCGCGCCCTGCGTGTCCGCAGCCGCGTCTGCGACCTCGTCTCCCTCCGGGCGGGAGGGGCAGGGGCCCGCTTTTGATCCCCTGTGCGGCACGGGCCGTTACCGGGAGGGGCAGGGGGGCGGGCGAGGGGGCTGGTGGCGTCACGATTCTCGCCGGCGCCGTTTTTGGGAATTCGCTCCCCCTTGCAATTTCCGAACGGCGACGGCGCGAGCCGTGACGTTATCAGGAGTGGGGGAAGGGAGGGAGTATCACAGGTAATGGCTGTTATCGCGAATCGTAAAACAGCGCGCTCCAGGAGGATGGGGATTTGGGATGGGAGGCTGCTGAGGAGGGATCGGGGACAAGGAGAGGACGACGAGGAGGAGCAGGCGGATAAGGAGGATCACGAGCAGTCGCCGAGCTGAGTCGTCGGTTCATCCTTCCCTCCTCTTGTTCCCTCGCCCATCCCGCCTCTCTTCCTCTTCTTTCCATGCCTGCCTCTTCGCCCTTCCCCTTCCTCTCTTCTTCTCCAAACCTGTCCTCTCGTCGTGTCCGTTCCATCACTTTCTCCACATTCTTCCCCTTCCTCTTTCTCCTCTAACCTCCCTGTCGCCCTCGCCCCTCGTCTGCTTCTCGTACTTGTCGCGGAACTGGTCCTCCAGCCTCCATTGAGGATTCAGGTTCTCTGCTGCTCCCTCCTCCTCGTCCTCCACTTCTCCCCCCGCGACCGTGCGTTCAATTTCTCTCTACGTGAAGCCCAAGGCACAGATGTTGCCGCTGACGGGAGCCCTGTTCGCTCCTTATGAAAAACTCTTCCTTGTCGCCATCGAGGCCGGTCGAAAGGGGGGGGCCGGCCTTTCGCCTGAGACTTCTTCACCACTTATGATCTTGCAGCTTACACATCGGCAACAGTTTCACGGATTGAGGGCGGGTGGTTTTCAAAATGTGGTTCTCCACTCAGAGCCGCGCACATTCGTTTTAAACAATTGCGAGAGTTTCGCGCGTAGAGGGCGTGCCTTTTTCAAAATGTGGCTCTCGCTTTAGCACCGCGCACGTTCGTTTAATCAACTTGCAAGAGTTTCAAGGATTGATGGCGGTTGTTTTTTGAAATATGGCTCTCGCTTTAGCGCTCACGGATGCCCATGGTCAGTGTACCAGAGATGGCGTTTTGGAACGATTCAGGATTGTCAAGGCGCAACAGTTACTTTAATTCGTGGTGTTAAACTCCCAGGACTGGCGTTCTGGCGCGATTCAGCGTCAAGAAGCAACAGTCAGGTTCATTCGTGGCGTTCGAATCCCGAGAATGGTCTTTCGGCACGCTTGAGGATCTTCAAATGGTTGTCTCCGAACGGGGCATTTCCCTTAGTGGAAATGAATCCTCGTGGGGGTCTATGAAGAGGGCACTTGGAGGGAGGGTTTATCCCAACATCGTTGATGAGTCTTGGGTTCGCGCTGGTCCTCCTCCTCCTCCTCCTCCTCCTCCTCCTCCTCCTCCTCCTCCTCCTCCCCTCTGCACTGCAGCGTCGCCGCCTGGCGCGCACCCTCCCGCGAAGGCGGCCCGTCGCGGCCATCAGAGGCCTGTTT